ATGCCCCCCTTGCCATCCTATAAGCCTGCCAGGAGCCGCTCCTTGTCCAAGCCCTCTGGCCCCGGCGACCACTCCCCGCCCTCGTCGGACCGGGTCGTTACATTCACCCCTCCTTCGAGCACAGCGTCCTCGCTGTGGCCCCACACGCGGTCGGGAGTCGGCTCTGATACCATTTGTAAGGACCCGGGGTCTACACTGTGTAATATTGTTCGCTTTGGGCCCACTGACCCTCACGGCTTTAAAACGCGTTGTCTTGGGTAGAGGCGCTCTCTGGCCCTTCCTCCCCCAAGCCCAATATTGTCCTCTTTGGGGCGCTCTCTGGCCCTTCCCCTCAAGGCTTTGTTCTCATCATGCGCAGCGGAAGCAAGCCCATGTGAAACGCGTTACACAGAATAGAGAACCCAAGCCTTATAAACTAGCCCAGGACTCCCCCCCTAAGCGATGTGGGACAAGAGACATGCCCCCCTTACCATCCTAGAAGCCTGCCAGGAGCAGCTCCTTGTCCAAGCCCTCTGGCCCCGGCGACCACTCCCCGCCCTCGTCGGACCGGGTCGTTACATTGAGTGTCCGAATTATGTTGGTGCTCGTGGTGCATTGCATTGCATAACATGGACACGCATTGCGTATGCCAAGAATGAGGCATGTGATGAAATTGTGCGAGCATGCGTGTCTGCCATGAGCATGTGATCACCTAAAATACCCTGAAGCGTTATACGCCGGGTTCGATAATAATGAGCCGTGTGATCACCTAAGGACCTTCGGGTCGATACCGTCCTCATGCACTTTGGAAGGTGACGATGCCCGGTACGTCCGGGAAGGCGACCATCCTCATGCACTTTGAAGCAGTGCTCGTTCGCAAGAAGAACAAGTGTTGCGCCTCATGCACTTTGAAGCAGGCTAGAGACACTGGGCCAGATCGGTTGCTGCGCCTCATGCACTTTGAAGCAGGCTAGACGCACCGGGCCGTGAAAAATTGATGACTCGAGTCGTAATAAATAATAAATTGGGCGATTGCCAGTGTGCCAGTGTGGGCCAGTGGGCCGGGAAATACACGTGACATGTCGACGACATTTGCATGCATGAACATGCATGGACTGGCATGCGAGTGTGTGAGCCTCGGTGCATGAGCATGTGATTGGCGTACGTGTGATAATATGTGCCACGTACGTGCCGTGATTATTATATATTGAACTGCCTAACCTGCAGGGTCGGAGGATTATTTGATTGTTGTTGCACTATGGTTTCACATATTTATTTTCCGGTCAGGAGATTGCATGCTAGCCTAGCCTAGGTTTAGGGGTTGAACTCACTGAGATTCGTCTCACGGTTGTGTAAACCGAAACATTTCAGACCCCCAGCCGTAGGATGCCGAGGAGAGCGCCTCTTTTTGGTATACCGCAATTCATCCAGCGGTCATCTAGTGAGCACCGTTGTGGGGATGGACCTGCAGCCATGGTCGAGGAAGCTGAGGAGCCCGAAGTGATATACGCTGACCCCTTTTTATTGAGTGGCTGCTGACTGTGTGTTTTCTCGGCCGTTGTATAAATGAATTTTGTAAAAAGTTTCCTATGGTAATATTAGTATACTTATTTTCAGAGGTGCTGTTTACTTAATGTACTACCTTAGTCTCATATGTTTTATTGTCAGGGTATATATATATTTATATACGTGCTTCTGCATGTGTTTGATCTCTGATTGGGCGTTGGGTCGGCGATGCTTCCTGGGAGCATCGCACCAAAATCGATCGTGACGGGATGTTGTGTTCCAATGGGGTACGGGGCGTGACAACGTGATTCTCTAAATCACCACTTTCCCATCGATAAGCATCTAACTCAGCTCTCAACACTGCAAGTCTTGCCTTTTGTTCAGCCGATCGTGGGATAGTAGGTGTGCGCATCCTACGGGGCGACATTGTTCCTGCAACAAATGTAGAACCAAACGGGATTACACATAATCCTTAAAGTACATGATCAGCAAATTTTTTTTTTTCGGTGGTCAACGCCGGTCAACGGTAGTCAACGCCGGTCAACGGTGGTCAACACATGTCAACGGTCAATGGATGACCGGGTCGGTCAACGGGTCAAACGTGTATACGGGTTGGGTCATCGGGTAAAAAAAAAAGGGTCGGATCGGACCAACCAGGTCAGGCTTCCGGGTTAGGGCCGGGCCTTCGGCCCAGGAGACTAACCACGTGGCTGACGTCAGCCACGTACACACGCGAATGCTTGGCGCGCGTAGCGCACATGCGCGCGGTAACCGCTGCGCACGTGCGACGCACGTGCCAGTGAGCCGCCGCTTGCGGTGGCGCGTGGAGGCGCGTCCGGCCTCTCCCCGGAGGCGTGCCACCCGTTGTTTTTCTCGTCTCGACGAGTACTACAACCCTACACTTTCAAAAATAAATTTTGACGCACGAAAATCGAGAAACAACCTCGAATAGTATGGCCGGGTGTCATTTTTTTTCGTACCCGAGCGTTCGTCGGTGCCGTTTCACGAATTTCGGCCAACAATCCATTTTATAAACATGTTAAACGATCAGGAAACAAGAACACATTGCTCTGATACCAATGACGGAAACGGATTCCTAGAAATTGCGGAAAAACGGGGAACACATTCTCTAAAACACATTGTAAAACGCGGAAAACTTGCCCATTCTTTACTTGAATCACTGATCGAATGAAGCATATTACGTAAACGAACATACCTCTTTGCCACATATTAAATGCACCTATTGTAGCCTCGAGAGAGAGAGCGATCCTTTGATTGTCGAGTAAAGTCGCTTTTTGATTTCAAGTGAGTGAGAGTTTCTGATAGTGAACCAAATTCACTTACAGAACACACATCAGTTTTTTTTTTCTTCTTCTCACTTTTGTTCCCACAAAATAACTGCCATTTACGGTTATTTTCTTTCATGGGCTCTTTCAAGGTTAATGGGCTAGGTTAGCCCATCATGGGTGGCCCATTTATTCACAAAACCCATCATTCACAAACACCGTTTGATGCCCGCTATGCTCTATGCTCTAAATGCAGGAGTGAAAAACAAGATCAAGCTTTTCCACGACCCAAAACTCAAATTTACCTTTAAGAAAAAAATAATAAGAAATACTCAATAGTGATCGGAATGAGCATGATCCAAAGACCAAGAAAACTAAAAAAGAAAAAAACAAGTTTTCTTTAGAATTGTAACCTTGATAGTGAATGAGAAGGGTGCAGATTATTGAAGTAAGCAATTCTTTTCGGATTGCAGATGCAGTAGAGATTTATGGAAGAAAAAGAAGAAGAAGACGAAGATCGATTAGGAGGCATAGAAAGAAGAGAATGGCTAACAAGAGAGAACAAAGAGATGAGTGGGAGGCATGGAAAGAAAGAAGAACAAGGAAAGTGGGACCATAAGGAATAAAAAGAGTTCATTAAAAAATAAAAAAATGACCACATAAAATTGTACAAGAAGTGGTGGGCCCCACAAGGGTTAGCATGGTCAAAATAACAAAAAAAAAAGTGAGTGTCTAAGTTGTATGAGGAGTGAAAAAAGCGCAATCCTTTTCCAAATAGTATAACATGTAATATGTAATGCTTCACTCCAAAAAACTAGTGGCCATTTAACACTGAGTAACATAGCATGTATCATTTCCATTAGAGTTCTAATCCTTTTTTCGGCTACTCCGTTTTGATTTGGGTGATAAGGCACGGTTCTTTCATGAATAATACCATGACTTTCACAAAATGATTTAAATTCATGTGAAAAATATTGTCCACTTCTAGCACTTCTAATTCTTTTAATTCGTTGTCCTAATTGATTTACAACTTGTGCTTTAAAATCTTAAATTTACCAAATTTCTCATCTTTATTGTTATATAAATAAACACATGTGTATTTAGAAAAATTATCCGTAAAAGTTATAAAGTATCTTTTTTCTCCTCTAGTTAAGTCGTCATTATTATTACATATATCCGTATGTAATAATCCTAAAATACCAGTAGATCTACTAACGGATTCAGTCGATTTTCTATTAATTTTAGTTTGAACGCAGCATTCCCATTTTTCATCAAGAATATTTTTATTCACAATATACACTAAATCACATTGTATCATTCTATCCATGGTTCTCTTGCCAATATGACCTAGCTCATAATGCAAAACAATATGCGTATTAATATGATAAATAAATTCAACACCACAAGCATAATCAAAAGACATAGTACTATCATGATGCATCAAAATGAGCTAGTACATCTTGTCGTTGGCATAGCCCTTTCCAATAAAGGATCCCTCTCTAGTGAGAATCACTTTATTGGACGCAAACATTACAAGAAATACATGAAGACCAACCATGTAAACTGAAATAAGACTCTTGTTCAACTTGCGGACATGACGAACATTTTTAAGAGTAAGTGTTCTGTCCGAAGACGACACAAGATATTCCGACCGATCACACTCGTATCTGAGTTCCCTTGTAAACATGCACTTGGTCGTTCATCTCCTTATACGAAGTAAAAGCACTCTTGTGAGAACTCACATGACAAGGGGCAACTGGAGTCAAGTCACCACCCATAGCCTACCTCCACCATACAAGTCAAGAGAACGGCAACACTCTCTTGCGCTGTGTCCGAGCTTTCCGCACACATAGCAAGACCCTCTCCTCTTCATTTCATACTTCATTTTGAATTGATTCCCCGACTTGTTTGGATTTCTCCACGATTCTTTGCTCTTTGGCTTATCATCATTAAGTTGCTTGACATCTGGGTTATACGTGAAAATCGATAGATCTATTTTTGATGGATTCTGAAATGGATTAAGCGTAGGAACGATTTTGACCGTTGGTCAATTGAGAACTTGAAATAAGAACTTATTCGACATCACTATACATGTCCAAACCAAGTTGCCACTAGCAATTCTAGTAAGGAAGAAGATGAATCTGGCTAATCATGTTAGAAACCAACTTTTTTTATTTTTGTTTATTTGTTGTTGGCAGATGAAGAACAAAAAAGAAAAGTCCTGCGTAAGAGTTGAACTGCATTAAATTCTCCACGAGTTCGTGCAGTGTATTCTAACCGGGTCCCTTTTCAAGCAAGGAAGAAGATGTGAGTACTTGATTGGATTAGAAACCCTCGTTTAGCTTAATTGAATATTGTCAAATGAAAAGAACTATGTTACATCAGAGTTGGCTGCATTCAATTCTTGCAATAGATATCTATGGAGCAAAACGGGGCTCAATGATATATGTGCACGGTCCACCACCGGCTAGCTCCTACATCACGAGGATTGCCAACTCTTTTAGACCCCATAACGAGCTAGAACCAAATGAGATTGTTGTGCTTTCACGCCACTTGTAAGGGTGTTTACTTAGTTAACGCTTCTGAAAAATAATCACGGATTGCTGGCACAATTTCTTGAATTAGCTGAGAGTACCTGAAGAATTGCAACAACCATATCAGCAGACAATTCAACTGAAAACAAAATATTAAAACGTGGTTATATTTCCAAATTGTACACATAACTGATTTCGATGAAGTTAGGAGGGTGGCATAAGACAAGTAATATATGTCGCTTCTCAGTACAAAACGGCAAAGCCATGCACAATTGGCAAGAGTCGAGCGTTTACGGCAGAGTCATCAATACGTACACGAAGACGGACATACACAAAGATTCATTTGAACTACCAGAACGGTGCCATCCTTTCTCACTCAACCAAACTGCGGAAGATGGATCACACTGCTAAATCAGCTACCTCTAGCATTACGCTTTGAACATAATAAAGGCTGAACCTCACAATAGTCACAAGTTAGAAGATCATGTAGCCAGGAGCAGTGCGACAATTCCTTTTCTCATATTAATTGGCCAAAGCTGGAAAGAACCAACCCAATTGAAAAATTCTCACTAGCAAAGCCTCTGTGATATTACAAAAGCAGCAAGCACACCAATTGGGAGACAAAGGCAAATGCATGTACTTGAATGCAAACACAGGCAAAAACTAGACACCTCATGCAGAAACTCAAGTTAATACTGTCAAATCTCAACCTGGATGAATTTATTTGAGGATAACAATAAGCATAGCTCGAAAAATCTAGATTTAAAACCCTAAGCAATTTCCTGCGGCTCATTACCGAGTAATATAGGTTGGATTGCGGCCACTTGCAATGAGCAATCCCTTGCAATGGTAGCCAGGGTGACACTAGCCTGCTCAGCCAAACTTTGTGGCCTTAATGTTCCAGCCTTTGGCTTTAGAGTGATAGAGGCACAAAGGGATTGACTACTAGTGATATGAGTTTTGGCTCTTAATAACCAATGGTAGATTTTCAACCGCCCAACTGTTAGTGATGTGAAAGCCAAGTGACGTGATCTTGAGTTTGTGAGCCAATAGATTTCGCATGTAAATATGACCCAAATGTAACAACCCTGTGCTTTAGAATTCTATCCCGATATAATGTTGACGAGTGCTGATCAGACATGAAACTGGATTTATTTGTGAAATGTAGCGTCCAGAATGTGCATAATCTGCGGCATCTCTGGATGTTTGACAAGAACACGATTAAAAAGAGCATTGCATGTGTGGATAGTGCCATTAGCCAAGCATTACTGGAAAATGGTATAAATATCAAGCCAATAATCTTTCTTCCGGTATGCAAAGAGCCTAGCCCTGATTGAGATACCAAGGTTGCTAGTTGCTAAATGGCCACGTCATTTTCAAATAACAGAGACCTTTATAATTCTTCCAATGCACCAACTTCAAAAGATTTAACATTCTTAGTTATCTCGTCAGCAGAATAAACTATATAATTTTTGGAAGTTAAAAAATTGTTGAGATTGCATACCGACGCCTGAATTCATCAAAATGCTCCAAGATAAACAAGATGCACGAATGCTTCAATGATGTCGCATGGAAATCATTGGAGAGTTCGTATATAGTTGAAATAGTTTCCATAGATAGTTCCTGCAATATAAACTCTCAATTATCTCGGGGATCACAAAGAAATAGACAAACACTACAAGTGCTATAACTTTCCTACAGCACTCACTTGACTGCCATAATAACTTTTTCGATCACTTAAATGTCATAATTTATGTACGGCGCTTACTTGAGTGTCGTATAACTTTTCAATCGATCACTTGAGTTCCATAATTTTTTAAAATGTTTACCACTAGTGTTATGCCACATCGAATTTTGGTACTTAAGTGAACTTTTAAAAAAGTTATGGCACTCAAGTAAATATTTTTTAAAAGTTATGGCATTTAAGTGGTCGAAAAAAAAGTTATGGCACTTAAGTGAGTGCCGTACGAAAGTTATGCCAGCTAGTGTCCTTTTCCGAAATAGACAGATGAACTCTTTGGCTAACCTGCCCAATGGCACGCTCACAAAGTCGCTTAAGCCCTTCAACGAGATACTGATCAGCTGCTTTAAGAAGCTCTTGTGCATTATCTGGCGTAACTTCAACTGACTCGGAGTACATGAACCTGTACCGGTAAAAGGATCAAGTGAATTAGAGCATAAAGCAAAGAGGTCCTTTGCCATGTTAAGCTAAAATTGCATTGACCTCATCATCAACTCAAAGATCTCCCATCTTATGTTTGGAATCTCTATGCTAGTGGCATCCTTTTCCTGCAAGCAAACATAAAGTGAAATAAGCAAAATGCATCATGTACCCTAATATACCAATTCTACAGAATAGCTTACAAAGCTTCAAGATGAGAATAAGTGGGTTAGTGAGGCATGTTTCCTCAAGAATAAGTGCCAGACTGCCACAAATGATGATTATATACCAACTTAAAAAGAATAAATAAACTTGCCTGATAACCGCCGTCAAGCATTGCACGGAATGTATCTGAAGATGCTGACAAGCAACTTCTGTGTGCATAGAATTGTCTAGCTGCAATAAGCAAGTCAATACCATTGAGACGGCCCAATATCAAAATGAATAGGAGAGTCAGAGTAATTAGGTTGAATTAACAAGAGCATGCAAACTTGGACAGACAACCCGAACTCACATTCAACCAAAAAGGTTACATCAGATTGCATAGCATTGTTCACATATTGCTTGCTTAGATAGACCTGCAATAAGAGTCCTTTCATCAGCGTATTGAACATATGGTCAAATAGAGAAGCATCACTAAAGCATTAAAAGAAAGCAAACAAAAATTGGACATAAATGTCAAAGGTGAAATACTAATAAATTTGTTAAACTTAACCTTCGTGAAAATGGTTTGGAAGAACAAGGCACTCAATTCCAGAAGGCATTAATGACCCGTGATCAAAAGGTCCACAGTATTATTGTCTTTATGCACTTCTGAGACCTCACATCTTACTGTATTAAGTGGTCGGTGCATAATAAGAGAATCTCTACTTACTCTATTCTCTGCTCTTTAGATGGCATTAGTGCCCGCATAAAGAGAAAAATATCAAGTTACAAACTTAGATTTCTTGTTTGTAGCATCCTTAAATTGTACATGTGCCCTGGATATCTATAAGGCCCCCTATTGACGCGGACCATGCCTAAGTGACACAGACATCAACTTGCGATCATGCCAATGTCAGCATTCTGCTGCAAAAAGCACATCCCCAAACTTGTCCTTTGCTGTTTGAGAATTCAGCCTCTATCACTTTCCATTTTCTTGTGCTCCAATCTTTCCATTCTGGGGTGTTTACAAGTTTTAAGGCATTGCATGTTCACCACGATGGCAACTACATAATGGATGATAATAAAAGCTTAACTGCAGGAATAGTATCAACAATCAAAGTAATGCATTGTGCTTAAACATTGTGTAGGAATAAGATGAAAGTGTAACAATGGATGGTTTCGTATTTAAGGCCTTAAGATGAAATATCAATTTCGTAATTACTTCATACATTATGATGTTTGTACTCCTCTTAGATTAGATGAAGCAGAGATGAAGAATGACTAGTAAAATAGTAGTACTAAGACCGTCGGTAGGACTTACGACAAATATCAGCGAGGTCAGGTTTCATTATGAATACCACTAAAGAAGTCGCAGCTGACTGTTAAGCAAATATTCACTTATTGTTAGAATCCTCCACTATCCTCAACTTCATCATTTATCACAAAATTTCCTAGTTAGGAGGTTCATGAGAGCATATGCGTATTTATCTTTTCAACAGGAGAAAATCAATCTTATAAACTCATATGCAATATCCTTTACAGCCCATATTTTGATCACAAGTAAAATATATTTGATAAACTAAATGCTCCAGTCAGAAGGACAACAAGAATAGGGTGAGAGAAATCCTACTACCATTTCTCGACCCAAATCAATTCCGTGTTCAAACCAGATTCATCTTTCACCATGACCACAAAGAAAGTGCAAGTATTTTTGGAGCTATGATTTGGCATCATTTTCGTATTTCCACATCGTCTGGAAAAACAAGTTTGTTTCCAAACCTAATTAAACCAATCCTAAGTGCACCACCTTATGATAAATCTAAACCAACGAAGGATCTTAGGAATCCCCAATCTAAAGTTAGTACTATCAAAAGTAATTGCGAAAGTAAAGGAACGAGGTTGACATTTTTTGATATTGCTTTTGCAAATAGACGTTTCTAGACTATTGATAGGTATGCAACATATATAGCTGCAGGTATGTCTAAAAAAAATAGAATAATTCTTTCATTTCCTTCAAGTTCGAGCATATATTTCGTAGTATAAGTTAATTGTTACAGATGTAATTCAAACAAGGACCACCAAGAGACTAAGTAAATGAGTAGGCAAGTTGATCATTTGAATCCACGTAAGGCTATTTGATATCACCACAAACTGAGTTCCTCCAGATTTCTGATCAGAAAATGTACAGTATAGCCTGAACATCACAAACTAGATCCGCAGGCTTTCCTTGTCTGAATCCCAACAACTCAACTAAGTATTTTAACCGCACTAGGGTAACATGTAGCAAAAGTCATGGCTCGAAACCATGTGAAAGTAAAAGAACAAGAAAATGATTATAAGATTAAATGGTTGGGGATGACTATGCACCCCTGCTATTTATGATTGTGTGACTTTATACAAATCAATCTCTATCAATATGATTATTCGTTAACGATGTTTAAATGCACCTACTGCCCTACATATGACATACCAAACTGCGTGGTGTTTCCCATACAATGTTGTTTCTCCCATAACAGAACATTAAAAGCAAATGAACTTTTTGAGTCCCTCAATGGTTAAGATCGCCATCGCCATCACCATCAGATGGCATCATCGATCAATTAGAAATTCACCACTGTGTAGCCAACGGAAGAAGTTGCTTCAAAAGCCCTATATTACAAGCTTCTCTACAGTACCAAAATCTGCCTCCAACAAGGAGTGTCAGGAAACACGAGTGAAACTAGGAACTCAATATAGGTATTCAAATTGAAGACCAAGTTTCTTATAAAGTAGAGTTATGATGGGCTAGAGTAAATAACATAAAAAGCATACTTGCGGTTTTGAAATGGTTGAATCTCCATCTAAAGGTGGAACTATCATTGCTTTCTTAGCCACCTTGAACAAGGCTAGCGCACCATCAAGTTGTTCCTTGGGACATGAAGAAATAAGCAACCGAAGCAGCAATTCCAATCCTTCATTAAAAAATAGCTTGCTTAGTCACTAAAAGGGTTTTCTAACATGGTAGTTGATGGGTCTTGAGCATGAAAAGTTGGGCATAGAAAAGCTAAAAAAAATCCAAAGTATAACATGCCATTATTATTGATAAGAATCATTGGTTGATCTGTTGGGTCAGAAAGATGTGCAAGAGCTATAGCTACTCTTCCTTGGATGGCATTCTCTGATACACGCATTAAAAGCAATAAGTGTTTGAAGACCTACATGGATGAAAACCGAAAATTATTTAACTAATGTTAAGTATGAAAAGCACGCTGCACAACCTGCCTATGGCATGTAAACATCCCATCAGAAAAAATTGCAAAATAAGCATCACTATCATGAAGAATGTCTTTACAGAGATAAATACTCACTCGGCCTCGAATCTTCTGCTCTAATCTCTTCACTGTTCTATTAACGCACTGTTTTGTGGCCTACAAAACAACATGGTGAACAAACTCGTAGCAATCGTAACACAAAGGCATAGAAATGCTTCATATAGGAAGTATCTCACATATTTCATAATGGTTTGAAGTGTGCCTTAAAACATCAATGAGCCACGAGTGCAAGTAAGCTTCCTAGTTTGACCACTTCAGATTTCCATTCAAATTGAGATGCATTATCGAATATGGCACTTATATTGTCATGGTAACACTATAAATTGTTAAAGAAGAAAGAATTACCTAGTTAGTTTCTTATTCCATTGCTAGATACCTAAATTCAAAATAAAATATTGTTATTATTATCTAGACACTACGGTTTGGGAAATTTGGTAAGTGACTCCCTGAACTTTAATGTTCTTCATAATGTGAAAACAGTCCTTCAGTCCTATTCCGGTTAGGGTTTTCAAAAGATTAATCCTACGTGGCCGTGTCTGCCTCAGTGACACAACATCATCTAACTCAAAAAGAAACTAAGAGAAGTTGGATGGAACTTCGCCAACATACAAAGTAGATGGACTGAAATCATGAAATCAGAGTTACTGAAACTTTCACAATATAGGGAATGAATGGTCAAGTTTTCCCTATTTGTTACTACCTTTTTATAGTAATATGGAAAAACATCGCAATGTTAAGCTTCAAACTAAATATCCTCTAAACTTAGAACACAAGAGCAACATGCCCCTCAATTTACAACCCGGTCCAGAGCATCCCTATACTAGAACTTCTGATCTTAGGAAAAGGTTCATCAATCATGCACACGGGAAGTGGCTTTTTATGTCAAGTTTCAAGACACAACCTTGTGAAATGGGCTCCTCCAGCTCAATTTTTCGAAAGTTGTGTAGAGCCTGCTGCAGAACAATTTTGAGTCTAGGAAAACATTGTAGATGAACCCAAGTGGAGAAGGATTTTTCTCATTGGTTGATGTTGTTTGGTGATACCAAAACAATCTCAGCACAAATTGTACAAATCCTAGCAGTAGCAGGACAACTATTTTTTTGTCTACTTGGATAATTAATGTTGAGTATGATATGAAAGTCGCCAACTAGGAGAATGACTCAGACTTACTTGGCCAGTGAATTCTCCCCTCTGTAGCTTCTGAAATCCACCAATAGTGATAAATTCTGACACGTTCTCCTGTGACAAGTGAAGAAAATCCATTAGATGATGCAAATATGTTGTTGAAAACCAATTCACTTGAAGAATAGGATTTGGGTCTTGATCCAAAGAAGTTTCAAACCATTCGATACCTCATTATTCAATAGAGTATGAAGAGCACATGCAGCAACATCCTGCAATGATTCACTTTCTGAATCTAGAAGTTCCAGTAATGCCAGTAAGCCGCCCTCGTGAGCAATACCAACCTGGGTGTCTGAGTTCTGAAATTGAGAATGCGTTTCCTATAGTAAGTACAGTGAATCTGACAACTAGCCCAACCAAAGAGCCTCTCTTCTCCAAACTAATATATCGGTCATTTTCATGCAGTCAGAAAGCAGATAATGAAGTTCAGAGGGAGATTAAATTTTACAACAGATTTATCAGAAAGTTATGGCGAAGTATTCTATGAATCTCCACAAGTTGACAATGAGTTCACGTCCAAAAGTCGAAAAGGTTGATTGAATTAACAGTAATTAAGCATGCGAACCATAATGACATCTACTATGTATTAACCCTACAATAGGATTAACTAGTCATAGTAAAGAGGGAACTACAGGTGCAAACTCCCCATTTTCTGAACTCAAGAAGATTATTAAAATCTATGATCACTTCTGAATTTTCAAACGCAGGGGAAAGTGAAATCATGGAAGCTATAAGGGAAAAATAAAACATCCGTATGAATTAATGAGCAGTGCTGCAGTAGAGTAATGACCCGAGCAAATCTCCACAGTGCAGAAGCCGACAATTCCCTCGCTTCAAGACTAGAAGATCGAAGCATCTCAATAAGAGGACGAACTGCACCCCTTTGAACAATTGCCTGTTTAAAGCTTTTCATTAAAATGGGCAAGAAGTATAACATTGTTGTAGAGTCTGAGCAAATGAGCTTCTACTCACCAAATGCATACAAAAAAAAAACCATTCAGCTTCTTGAATATTTCCTCCAGAGAGAGAGAGAGAGAGAGAGAGAGCAGTAAAAATGATCCCTTAAGACATTTTTTCCCAAAATATCTTTTCAGACTGTTACGCCAGGGCACCAAAGTATGGAATTCAATTACAAGCAACTTTAGCTCAGAGAGGCTTCATATAACTTGACCAGAGACCCTTCCGGATTAAAAGCCAGATATGCATTAACAAAACCTCTGTCATATTTATTGTACTTAAACACATTGTATGATTAGTACATCAGGTTTTCTAGACTAATGCATCCACATTAATAGATGCTATCTAAAGTTAGCAGACCAAATAATGCATGTGGTTAGAGAAAGCTTGCCCATGTGTATGATGAAGGAATGTTGGCATTATCATTTATCAAATTAGATACTCGTCTTGTCATTAATGCTGTTTAAAATACAGCAAAATGTTCAGCACACTTAAGCAGCAGACACAATTTGAAATTTGGAAAGAAAAAGAAAATGAGAATCATTTGTAGGGGCTTCTTCATAGGACAAATATTAGGACCTCAAGAAATGCTTATATGATCTCTGAGGCCCTGGCAGAGGGCTCTCGGGGATGCACAGAGAGAAGTGATCATCGTTTTCACTATAGAGAGTAATATAAATGATATTTCTTTAGAGAAATATATAGAAGACAAAAAACTACAGAGCAAAGGATACAAGGGGATCACAAGAAAAACAGCATCACTCATGAGTCACCTTACGAATTGAATTGGCTGCAGCAAATAGTCCAACTAAGCGAGCTGCCTCCATCTGGCTCCAAACACAGCTGGAACTGCATTGCAATAGATGAACTTCGAATTTCACAGAGAGAGACAGTAGTTCCCAACATGAAGCAGCTGCAATATACAGGTGCTTTGCCAACCAAGCAAAATACATTGCGACCTATGTATAAAGCCAAGATTTGGTCATACCTGAGCAATCTAATAATAGGTTGCAAAGCTCCAGCAGCCAGCACATCTTTCTTTATTTTTCGAGATGAGCGCACCAGAACACTAATCAATGCAACCTGCAAAACCAGTGATCACTGCAAATTGTGAGTTTTAGTGGTGCAATTAACGAGTTAAGAATCCATAATACCCACATAAATAGATCAATGAAGCACAATGGTTGTCTAGAAATTTTACCGCCTTAATGTGTATGTCAGCATTCTCAGATTTGAGTATCAACACGATGCTTGGAAGAGCACCACAATCCACGATCTGAAATGACAAGTTATTCTCCATTTGTTTCGGCAAATGAACAATAAAACGCTGCTTTTTTCTTTCCCACTGAAATCTAGATTATTATTTTAACAAAAATTTTTTATCTAAATTAACATGTCAATTATGTATCTTATGAAAGTTTAGCCTGATAAAATTTTAAAAGAAAAAAACAGGATGCTTGTGCTGCAAGATTTAAAAACGCAAAAGGTAAAACAGAAAAGCCACTCCATACACACTAGATTTTTCTGCAAATATTGCTGCAGGAGAAAATGGAAGTTTTAACTTCCTAAAATGTGACCACCTGATTCCTGTTCTCTTTACTTTCCAAAGCCAGCATGCACAACGCTGCGGCGGCTGCTCCTTGCAAATGTATTTCATAGGCATCCAGCAACTCAACCAGCAGTGGAATACCACCTTCCAACCTACAAATCCACCGTATAATCAAGGAAAGATGTGGTATTAGAAAATGACAATTGATCATAAATTTTTTTTTTTGAAATTAATCATACAAGTATGAAAGCCAAAAAACCTGACAAGGATGGCGGCGCTACTATTATGTTGAGCAAGCTTTGAGATAGCCTCAACGGCTCTTAGAATGAGATCATTCACGGACTGTGAACTGGACCCTGCTTCGTACCTCTTCAACAGATTGAGTAGATGGTTTAAGGCACCACTCTTAATTATGAGTTCTCGATGCTCTGGCTGTCGAAACCAAGAGACAGAAAAGAAGATTTGAGCAGAATAAAAAGCCGCTGACCACAATCTAGTGCTTCAAACTTAATCCCAAAGTAGGAGATAAAAGTTCCAACATTCCAATTGAAACAAGACACAAACATCTATATGGGTACCCTTGATTGCATCTAACGTCACGAAAAACTTCGAATAAGGGTCAGCAATAACACATACTTTTGCAGCAAGCCATCTAAGAGCGTATGCACTCGTCGTCTCGACTTTGTGCTGGAAGAACTTCGCACACTTGTCGCCTTTTCCCAAAGGAGGCGCTTGCAAATGCTTCACCAAAGCAGGAATGGCTCCATTCTGAACCATCTCATCCACACATTTCCCTACAAACGAAAAAATAAATAAATAAAACAACAGAACGCCACACGGCTTATGCCAAACACCACGCGGACTCCACAGTCTACACTAATCGCGCATGATGAGATTCCTAAATCAACCCTCTAATGTCCAAGCAATCAATCATCCTCTACACCGAAAACAGACGGGTTACCCTTCTCGGCGAGTGCTGTGAGGATGAGAATAGCGTTCTGGGCGGCGATGCGATCGTCCTCTCGGCAGGAGAAGGTGCGGTCCAGGACGCCGACCATCTTGATCACGAAGCGCACCAGTTTCGCGTGGTCGGCTTCTGTGACCACAGGCTCAAGCAGCGCTTCCCACTTGGCCGGAAAGCGGAGCGACGTGCAGGGACCGACGGGCCCCGGCTCCGCCTCCGCCTCCGCCTTCCGCTTCTGGCCTCTCAACTCCGGCTGGTGGTGGCCGGAGTGGTCGCGGTCGCCCGTGGACGCCATCGGCAACGACGAAGGAAATGGAGGGAGAGAAAGAGAGAGAGAGACGTTGGTTTTCAGCTTTTGTGTCTCGCTTTGCCCGTTCGCCTTCGTTCTTTCCCCGCTTCTTGTATTATTCCTCCGACAATGCCACGTGTATTGCAGATCTTACTGCCACGTGTCTTGAACGGCAAGCTCAACGCGAGGCCCATATAATTTAACGGTCGAGATCAATCGGCCTCATCTGCACCCGAAGCGCGCAATCCATTTCCCTGCCTATTCAAGCTTCATTACCATCTATTGCTTTTGCATAGATAAAAAAATTTACATTCTACGTAAGAAACAGGAAATACGTACATAATGAGTACTATACATAGTGGAAATTACGCTTGATAGTAACTATTCGACTCTCGGAATTGGCATAGTTAGTTAGGACGGTCAAAGGCCCGGTAAGACTCTGGAGATTGTTTTACCTTTGCGAACTAGGAAGTTGGGCCGAGGATTTTATTACACTAGATTGAGTTTACGTATTTGGATTGATTCATTTTTCTCTTTATAGGAAAACTTTTCATACATGATTTTTGTTTCCTAACATACTACTACTTGCCTATGTATTCATTGTAATAATCCAAACATTCAATAGGATACTAAATGCAGAAAACGTTTGGAAAGCAATGAATAAATCAAATAGTAGAAAAGAAAAGATAATAACACGAGTCGTCTCGGGCACCAATCAAACACGGCCTTGTTACAACAGGACTCCGTTAGTTAGCGGTAAATGGAAAGTCTATCCTCTTTTTCTAAACTAGACTAATGCATAACAGAAAGGGCAGTGGTATTTCTACTTCCAGTATGACTGAATCCATTCCATTTACATTAAGGGAAAGAAACCCTCCTTTACCTTAATTGAATGTTGGCAGATGAAGAGAACTATACGACGTCAGAGAGGTACTGCATTCAATTCTTGCAATATTTATCAATGGAATAAACAGGCTCCAAGATAAATGTAGATGATCTAGCTCTTGGATCGGCTTGCTCCTACATCAGGAGGACTGCCAAAAATGCCATAACAAGCTAGAGTCAAATGAGATTGCTACGCTTTTCACTCCTCGTGCACAAAGGTTAACTTAGTCATGATTCGGAAAAACAATCACGAATTGCTGGCACAATTGCCGGAATAAGGTGAGAGTACCAGAAGAATTCAACGACCATATATATCAGCAGACAATTCAACTGATAAATTATATATTAAGAGGTACTTATATTTCAAGATTGTACGACAAAACTGATTTTGATGAATTCTTCTTTTTTGTCAAAGAATATTTCCATTCATTACCAAAATGATACATGAAAGGATTTATAAGAAATCCCAAAACTGCAAGGGTAGCATAAGACGTCTCTTCTCCCAACAAAATGGTAAAGCCCTGCATGCTTGGAAAGAGTCGAGCATTTTCAATGTATAAAGACAGATAGACAGACTTATCAACACATACACAAAAACAGAAAGATCCAATACTCAATCCTTTGAGCAACAAAGATCCATTTAAACTACCCAAACTGTGCCATTCATTCACAATCAACCAATCCACGGAAGATGGATTTCACTATAGTTACCTCTATGTATTACCCTTTTAACATAATCATGGCGGGAAAAGAATATTAGAAGTACCATAACTTTCATAAGGTACTCACTTTCATGCCAAAACTTTTCATCGGATCACTTAAGTGTCAAATCGGATAACAAATAATCACTTTAATGCCTCCGGCAAGAAATTATAACCAAAAGTACGACATGCATTTTTTTTTTTCATATGTGGCTTTTTTTTATTAAAAAAACAAGTCTAGCATGGACTATGAGATGACTGGTCTTGGCCCGAACGACGCCGCTCCAAGTCCTTCTCTCATAAAGACAGATTTCTCTCTGTTGTTGTCTTTCCCTTAACTTCAACACTCACTCTCGTTCACTGTTTGAAGTCGCCGGGCACCCTCTAATTCAGATGGAATACATTTGAAGGTAAATACATCGAAAGATGCCGTCAATCCCATCTTTGCTAGCTTGTCCGCACAATGATTTGCTTCCCTTAACACATGCTTAATCCTCACCAGCTGCGATTCAGCTCAAACGTCCCTGCATTCATTCAAAATTGAGTTCAAATTAGGGATGTCAGGACTCGTGTTTTGCGAAGCATATATCATATTATTGGCATCAGACTCCAGACATGTCATATTTAAATCTAAAGCAATAATTAGTCCCCCCTTGATAGCCCACAGTTCCACAGTAAATGTGGAAGTCTTTCCTAAGCAATGAGTATAACCCTTCACCGATTCCCCTTCATCATCCCTGATTATGCCCCCAATTCCAGCTACTCCTGTACTCTCCACCACCACCACTCCGTCAGAATTCAATTTTAACCAGCCAACTTGCGGAATTTCCCATTTTGATCCTGATCTCGACTTCTTTCAGCATTGTTTATTCTTTGTAAATGCAGCAGATGTTCGCTGCTTTATCTAAACAAAAAGATGCAGAGTAAGTTAGTTTAGAATTGTGATTGAAAGAAACAGCACTCCTATATATCCAGAAGAACCCACAATACCATTAAGAAAACGCTACTCCGAGAGATCCTAGGCCTATTGTACCAAGTTTTAGTTCTCACATTCCTAATTCACTCCCTCAAGGACTTATTGGAGCTCTCAACCACAGAAAGAGGTTTTTCCGATGTCATCCCATATTAGCAAATAAATGATAGTCTCATCTTGAGTATCACATAAGGGACACATCTTGCACGTTCATGCCTCTGGGACCAAGCAGATGCCTTGTGGCAATAGTGTTATAAAGAACCAACTAAATAAAAAATTTGATGCTAGGGGTCCCATCATATTTCCAGACCCAATTCCAATTCCGCTGTTTACCATCTCTTGGGTCTAAATCCATCGCAATCTGGTAGGCAGAACGCAGGCAGCACTGGCCAGGGTCCGAGAAGTTCCATCAGAATTTGACCGGGTGCAAAATTTTTCACTTTCACTTAATTGTACACTACATGTCGCTTCGCAGAATGCTTGGTGGCTGGATGCTAGAAGAGCATTGATGGGATTTGGCGTTGGGGTCACAGGCTATGTGGTAATACGCACTTTGGACTTCCCGGTACACTTATGTGAACCGCGATGATCATCACCTCTCTTTTACCCATCAGGTACCTGTATACATCGCAGAAATAACACATAAAAATGGGCAAAAGAACACTACAAGTGCCATAACTTGTGTACGGCGCTCACTTTGGTGCCATAAGTTTTTTTTGGATCACTTTAGTGCTAAAATTTTTGAAAAACGATCACTTAAGTGCTAAAATTTTTGAAAAACGATCACTTAAGTGCCAACTCCGGTGCCGTACACAATTTTTCGCCGGAAATCCGACGTGGCATTTTTTTTATTAATTTCTGAAGCTGACGTGGCTCGCCGGAGATTGACACTTAAGTGATCGTTTTTCAAAAATTTTAGCACTTAAATGATCATTTTTAAAAAAATTTAGCACTTAAGTGATCGTTTTTCAAAAATTTTAGCACTGAAGTGATCCAAAAAAAACTTATGACACTTAAGTAGTCGTTTTTCCTCCGACTTGGCACCAAAGTGATCCGAAAAAAAGTTATGACACCAAAGTGATCTCCGTACACAAGTTATGGCACTTATAGTGTCCTTTTGCCCATAAAAATGTACGGGGAGCATTTGCTTCATTCAATCCGGTCAGAATAAAATTAGAACAATATGATCTTGCTTCATGTTGCCAATACATCGCCTTTTGGTCTATTTGTCTTCTTGTTGCAGTCCATGCAAGCTTTTGGCTTTTCATTGACAAACTTTGTTGGAACTATTGTTTCCTGGTGCGCCGTGGCTTTGATCGGTAGCGTCTGGGATTCTCTATTAACAGTTTTTTTTTTTGGTGTGAAATCTCTATTAACAGTTATTTCTGATAAAAAAGTTGAAAATAAACAAAAAGTGCCTTTTGTGTTTTATTTTTCAGGTGGAATTCCTGGTGTAATACAAATTTTCAGTTTATACTTCATAACAGAGTCTCCTAGATGGTTGGTGAGTTCCTTCAGGATCTTGCAGTGGTTGCGTACAAGTGGCAATCTGATATGTGAGAAGGCGTAGTGGTTCAAAAGTAGTGTTAATTGCTACCACCCAAACGAAGAGATTGTTTTAACTGATGATTTCAACCCAATCATTGAACTTGTCCTATTTGTTTATGAATATTTATACCCACTAAGGACATAAATAACAATCAATCTTCTAATTCTTTCCAATATCTACCGGACGTCATCGCCAGTTATGTCAGGCATGATGGAAGATCTGGGACTTTCTGTAGCGGCAGTTCGTCTACCTTCCTCCTCACGAATGAAGAATCTGTTGAATGGGTTGGACGTATTCAGCTTATTGTTGAAATAGGATCATAATGGCATGATTGCTGCGAAGTTTTAGTTGATTTAACTATCATCTAAATTCTAAGATTAAAATAATAATCCTAATTTTCTATGTACTTTGTTCCTTAACATATAGCATTAACCCTGTATCTTAATCGATAAGCAATAAAAGCATATCTTGTGTTAAGGACTGTCGACGGATAAGTGCACTCAGTTACGGTTCGGGTTCTCTGTGTTAATCTTTCCCCTATTATGCTGCATTATTCACTTTTTGGTTCGATGCTGACAATTGGAGGACCTATAGCAGCTTTACTAAATGGAACTATAACAGATATGATCGGTCAAAAGCGTGTAAGTATTCATGAGCTATATAGACTTTCTAAATTTTCACAGTTGCGTTAGACCAAGTAGCTCTTGTCGTAACTTGGGATGCAGACAATGTAACTTTCTCAAATACTTTGCACAGCTGAATGTATTTCTATAGCACTTACCAAGGTTCCTTCCCTTTCTCTCGCCTCTCCAAGTTCTCCTCATAAGTGGCCAACACATGAGTAATTTGAACTTAGCAAATGGAATAGGAAATGCTTCAAAGAGAGTTTACTGGTAAC